ACTGCCATCTGTCGTTTACACTGTGATGGGCAATACACTAAACAGATGGCTGTAGTGTGTAAACGTCAAACGCAAGGGAATTAATGGTGGGTGCCTTAAGTGACGGTACTACCAACTAAGAAACATTTAAATTTACCGTTACAAGCGATTTCAATGAACATTTTAAGAGTGGTGTGTCTGCTTGTCTGTGATCAAATCATCACTATTGCAACTTTGGATAATCCACGAAAGTACTTGAATTATTCTCAGGCACTTTTGATCTAGCTACAATCACTCTCTCACACTCGAAATGTGCCAAGACCAAATTGGCACAATGCCGTTCTATATGCTCTCTGACTAAAGAGCAGGGTTGTAGAAAATTCATGTTTTTTTTTCCGTTGGTATGTTGTCCGTCGATCTTGTTTTCCGTGCTGAGCATCAATGTTATCGACGCCAGGAAGGCAGCTCCCACACCTGGACGCTACCTATCGACCCATCAACTCATGAACCGGGGACCAAAGGCTTTACTTCCCATCCGAAGGAAGGCGTGATCAGAGATGGACTCAGGCCTGCTGGGGTGAAAAAAATCATGTTGTACACTAAAAATACAAATAAAAACAAAAACCATCAACTTTTGGTTAAATTTTGGAATTTTTTTAATGAATAATTTTCCATAATAAACAAAGTTTCCATAATAAGGAAAGTTTCATGCAAATCGGAGAAAATCGCTACTAATCGATTAGCCATGTGGCGTTTTGTAATTTTATCCCAGGTAATTTATTATAAGTTGAAACACTAGTGTCTTTTACAGCAAACAGATATTTTCTCATATGATACCAGCCTGCTCAGGAATTTTTCCAAATATTTTCAACTATCAAAACATTTAAATCACGTTTATTAGATGTGCTCTCATGATACCAGGTTGCTTAGAAATTATCCCGAAGACTCTAAGGTGATCAGAGATCCCCATGATAACCACAGGATACTATTTCAAGACTTCGAGTAGATAAGGTATCATTCTGATAATATCACATCTCTCATATATTCTCTCATATGAAAGTACCTCAGACATTATTCCAAAGACCTTCATGAGTTTTAACATTTCCATATCTAAAAAGCATACTCTGGATATTTTTTCAATACTTCAGGTACTATTCTGAAGATATCAAGCTGAACATTGCATTAGGTCCTAAGTAATATTGACAGATTCTCTTCGTCGTCTTTCTCTTTGAATTCCCACGGCCATGTAAAGCTTTTACCTAGCATCTAATATGACAAACACAAAAAGAACAGTTAAGTGCTCAAGTTATTAACGAAAGAGAAAGTCGATGAAAACAGAATCGATCAATGTTACTTAGGACCTAATGCAATGTTCAGCTTGATATCATACTGTCCAACAATTCACATCACATCTCCCGGATATTCTCTCATTGTAAGTGAGACAGAAAATATTCCAAAGGCCTTCAAGTGATCAGAAATCTCCAAAAACTTCTCATGATATTTTTTCAAATCTTCAGGATGATCAAGTACAATTGTGAAGCTGTTCAACTGTCTAACAGTTTAAATCTCGTCTCTCATATATTCACCCAATACAAGGGTGCTCAGAATTTTTTTCAAATACCATCAGGTGATCAGAGATCTCCATAAAATAATCTCCTCCATCATCAAATCTCACTTCACATAGAACTTTCTACTTTCTAGACACGTTTCGACAGAAGAATCGTCCTGGACCTCTTCAAACTCGTTATCTGAAAGTGGATTACGTTGCTGTAATCATCATGTACCAGGAAACACGTTCTTTAATCAGAATCACCTTTTCCGTTCGTACTAAAATCACCCAAGCAAACAAACTTTGCACACGAACACATATTTAGGGATAAATACCAAATATAAGAAGTTTTGAAAACAATTCTTATGACAGTTCCAAAGAACTTTTGATGAGTATTCCAGGGGCCTTCTGACATAAACACCAAAAGCATGCTGACAAGAATTCTGATAACAATTTGAAGGAAATCAGAATCTGAGGATAGTTCCAATGAAATTCTAAGGTGAACTCCTCTTCTGAGAATAGTTTCAAGTGAATTACTAAATAGATTCCACGGAAATTCTAAGGAGCATATCGAAGAACTTCCAAGAGCATTTAAAGGAATCATTTTGAGCTAACTGTCACTTTAAAAAATGGTCATAACGATTGAATGCATGTATGAATTTTTGATATCACTATATTCCAGATATTCGACATGTATAACCATCAACTTAGTATACTTTAATTCAAATATCTCTCCCTTTACCTAAACTACCAGCCTCATTTGTCACGTCCCACTCACAGCGTGCGTCCCCGCTTTAGTTCCAGCACATTTTGAGTCCTGTAGTCCTTTGTACCTTTATAATGATGTGAAAAATAAAGGTTTCATTCTTTCGAAGAATGTTCAGTTTCTAACAAATTACACACGATTTTATACAGTCTTAGGTCCATTTTAACGTCCATCATTGCTTGAAATCGCATACAAATAAAATGTCAAATTCTAAAATCAATACAAGCTAGTCGGCGCCGATGTTGTAATGGTAAGCGTGACTGCTTTTTCACCCCAATGGGTCTAGGTTCAATCCCAGCCGAGGTCGGTGGGATCTTTCGGAGGCATTACAAATCTCTGGTCACGTCACGGAAGTAAAGCCGTCGGTCCCGGCCCGTGTGTGTTGAATGGGTATGAAATCCTACGCAGGTGTGGAAGCTGCCTTCCTGCATATTCGATTGCATGTCAATGGATGGCAATCGATGTCCGTCGGCATTAGAACTGTGGAACAGAGACCGACGTTAAATAAAGAAATGATGAATCAATACAAGCTGATATGTCTACACACTTTAAATCAAAAATACCTGAACATATATCCATTTTACCCATTGAGAGTAGCATATTTGTGAAATCGGTGACAGTTATTCTGCGTCTCCGGGAGCATTCCAAGGAAATATTATGAAGTATTTTAAGCGATTTTTGGTAGCTGAAGAATCTGTTCGGTAAATTGTAAAATTATCTCTTTTCAGCAACGAATGCACATTTTTGTTGTAAAGTGTCCAATAAAAATATACATGTGCTATTAGGCCATATCAAAATCATTACCCACTAACATCGCGTTGGTTCGATTAGCATCAACAGGCGGACAATTGGATCATGCATTCGTGTTTATTTAAATTTTGTTTCTATTTACACTTTTTTTACCAATGTTGATGCCACAATAAAATATTATGGTCGGACTCGTTGAATTAATCTAGTGGATTGTGAGACACCTGGAAAACTGATTGTTGTCTGCTAAATCTAGATCCAATCGAACGGACACCGTTCGTTGTAAAATCAAATATGAGTTGTGATTTATTTTTTATTTCAAACCTAAAAACTTACCAATCACCTATAGCACCTGGGACAGTAGCTTCGGAGGAGCACCGTGATCATTCTTCAACCCAACAGCCATAGGGACGCATCGTTTTGGTCCAGCTTCCAGCAACTCTTCAGCAAATTCACGTAGTCACTGTTGTTCAAATAGGGCTTGTGAATTTTGACATTGGGGAAGTCTGCAGTATATGTGAAAAAAACTTCTCGTGAATGTTAACGAGAACTATGAAAACATAAATCTGAATTTACATAAATGTATCCTCTTCCTCCAAGTGTTCATTCTATAATATATGTTTCTAAATTTAATATATTTATTTCAATAAAGAAACGAATTTTCATCTTTGAAATATATTGCAGATTTCACAGGCCAAAACATTTAAACATCAGTTATCTCTATATATTTTTAATTTTTTAAATTAAGTAACTTTATCATACCTCTGTTTTATTTTACCGTTGTAACAGTGAAGAACAATCCCATTGATTACGTTGTGTGGCGGGGGCTTGGATGGACCACAACAAACAGTTGAGCCTGAAAATCATAATGTTTTTGCTATTTGGCCTGCTCTAAACGTATTTTTATCGTAAATTCTATCACCCAAAATTATTACTTGGGATTGAAGATTGTAAAACGTCCTTTATTCTGAACTGCCATCTTATAAGACCTAATAGTCATCTCCGATACAATGCCCTTTTCTACCACTTGGCACTATTTAGGGTTTTAACCCTGCCGTCACGCTGCGATCTCAAGTGGCTTAATAGCTGCATTTACACTCCCGAGCCACTCAAAACTCGATCCCTCATCTGGCTGATAGGGCAGGGTAAGGATGCCATATTGCATTCACCGAGCATCCTTGCCGAAATACATGCAAGTGTTGTAGGTAGTGTAATTTCTCCATGCCTCGTTACTTTGCATGTTTTCCGTCTATTCCATCCTAGTCAGTCCGTCGTCGTCGCTCAACATGCGATCTCTAGATCAAGAACAACCTAGTAAGAAGGGGAAACGGATAACAATGTAAACAATAAATAATGTTCAAGTTCATGCGGCGTTTGCCCCTGGCTGGATGGTTGTTCCTTGTTGCTACGAATTTCTCGTTCTTCTTCGTTGCGTGTCATCCGACAGAACCCTCCTGCTCCTGGTCCTCTCTGTTGACTCTGTTTGGTGAAAAATAGGATTGTGGAGAAAATCCGAGAGCCGAAACATAAGCGATGCTTCGTGTTTTCCTTGTGTGTGAGAGCGAGAGCGGACAGCTTCAAAGGAGTTTCGTCGGCCGCAAATTGAAAACATAAACAAAGCGAGTGACTCGAGGGTACACCTCGCCGGGTGTTGATTCGATTCGGCAAGCATAGAATCCGACCGAGCACATGGTTTTTGGGCGATTTGTGGGTGAGAGAAACGTGTTTCACTTGCTTTCGTTAAGTTCTCTCCCGGCTTCTGCTGGGCCTACTACGATGGTATGGTACTTCGTGCCGGTCAGCTGTTTTAGCCGAAGCCGATCCGAACGACACGAATCGTGCAGATGCACTTCGCTTGGAACCGATTCCTCGCAATGATGATGCAAACAATATAGGATGGGATCTCGCTGGGAAACCATCGAGCATCGCTTTCTTCGGATCGGGCAGTCAGTGCTAGTTTGGCATGTTGATGCGGTGGGTCGTGATTTTTACGCTGCTCTCGGCGAAAACGTTTGAACTCTTAAGTGGAATCAGTGGGGACGCACGGTCGTTGGTTTGATTCAATCGCCAGGCGGCATCTTCAGATGATGTTGGTGCATCTTGCGTGTGCGGGATTAATTGATGCGTAATCTGGGCGGCTTTTCGGTTTCCCAAAAAGAAAAGGGGGAAGTTATCAGCCATCAGAGGAAGAGAGACGGTCGGAGCTTCTGTCTTGATGACCCTTAATGTGATGAAATGTAAATGTGCAGTTATGATTCATCCAGAACAGTGAAGTGAACGTAATTGGATCCTCGAGTACGGGAGAGAAAAAAAATCAATCGTTTCATAAAAGGGTTAAATCAGTGCGTGCTGCAGTTGAACCGAAACCGACTGAAGAACATCATTTGGTTGAGCATCATTCTGCATCATCGATAGGTGCAATGAAATTGAACTAATTGTTCCAATAAGCACTCGAGAAAGCACGAATGGTGAATCGGGCAGGTCGGGAGTTCCAAAGTGGTGAGCGCGTGCTTTTGTGCGAAACACAAAACAAAAATCCAAAAGCTGAATAATTTAACGTGAAAATTGCATTCAAATCGACGTGATTGTGATTCTGATGATGCTGATGATGATGAATTCATGAAGAGCTTGTGTGAAAAGTTCAGTTGGATAAAAGTATGATAAAGTGTTATGAAGTACGAGAAGCAGCAGCGGCTGGCAGTGATTGCAATCAACATGATAATCGTCCGGAGAGAGTAATTTGATTCGAACCAATAACGGATTATCCCTTGTGGCGAAGGACGGTTTTTTGCGTTCCTATTGCCTAATGTTACTGGTGGTGCTGTTGATCCAGCTAGGACTTGAGAGATAGAAAAAAAAGATGGTTGTCAAGGTGCTGCTGCTGAATAAGATCTGCAAGGAACCCGGATTATAAGCGGAATTTTTGCCATCATAAGGTGATTATGAGAGGATTTATGTTTTTTTTTTAAAGTTTCTTATTTTCACTATCTTTGTTGGATTGCTGTTGGTTACTGGGAAGAGACAATAATGAACTTGATGGTGCGTTTGTTGCTTTGGGGTGGGTTCCAAAGGTTGGCTTATGTGGGTATTTTGTTTTCGATTCCAGTGAAGAGATTTCTAAGGGAGGTCGAGTAGCATCGAAATAACAGTACCCACCAACAGGTGTGGCACAAGGTTTGGGTTTGTCGTGATAATTTGAGATGAGAATTGACAGTTGCTGGTCGATTCTTGTTACTAGTGAGTAAATAATTGTTCACCATGTGTCAGATGCGGAACATTGGACAACAATTTTCTTCTTTGATTCTATTTGAAAACAAGTGATTTAGTTAAGCAAAGATGATACTGAGTTGTCTTTATTAAGGTGTTCAAATTTACAACTTTTCACACAGAATCGTGCAGTAGTGGATTTAATGTATGACAATGCAAAGTAAATAACCTACGACGAAACTCAAGTAGCGGCTTACATTACCGAAGTATTAAAATATGAAGTTTTTAATACTTTTAAGATAATAATATGTCACTATAAATGAAGTATCCTGACAATTAGGAGGTATATTTTGCTAAAAACAACGCTATACACTTGGAATGTATTAATTTTCTATAGGATTTTGAGCTCATTTGGTTGCAATCTGAAACTGCGCTACATATTGTAAGGTCACATGTGAATGACTATGAATGCGGACATTTTCTTAAATTATCTTTGTGATTTACTGTACTACTCCCATTTATAAAATCTCTGATTAATTCACCTACTGGTGACAAGAGGCTTTATCTTATAATTTTAAATCATATTTTTTCCATTTTCTGGTCACTATCGAAGAGTAAAGGAATGATTAAAGGAAAATTAGGGTGCAACTTGGAGGTAAATTAGTGACTACTTTCTTTTCGAAACTTGTTTACAACTGTTTTAAAAAACTCAATACTAAGTAGGGTAAACATTGGACATATTAAAAAATGAGTAAATGGTACTCAATATTTAGTATTGTTAAGAAAAATTCGCTTCAATGAAAGAGCTTCATCAGAGCACAATGATATTTGTTAAATTTCTTAAGCATCCATCTCAGTTTTAAATTGAGATTCAAATAGCTTGAACTATTTCGCTTTTTAACATGAAACCACGGTGTCGCAGTGAATATTATGATCGACATAAAATGTCCATTTATTAGGTGTATACCAGTCGATAGAACAGGATATTATCTCTGCTACGTATTCTCTGTGAAAATCAAAATCATTCATCGGTGGTTTTATCGTGATGATATGATTTTATGAGGTTTTGCCCTGAAGCGTCTGAATAAGTTTGTGAAACTTCATTAAACTGGAACTTTTTTGGATGAATTCCTAAGCATTTGCTGTATTGAACAAAGTTATTCTGAAACCAATGAAGAACAACTTTGTTGAGCATTGTAAGCTCCTAATATTTTATCCAACTAAGTTAACGCTAATATGCGCGATGAACCATGTTATTTATATGGAAGTCTGGGTACTCGGGTACCCTGTCGCGCACATAACGGTTAAAATTAAAACAAATTGAGAATTCATTTTCATTTTCACAAAGAATACGTAAAATGATCAACTATACCGACTGGAATACACAGAGTTGATGGTGATTTTTTGTTGATAATAACGGTTACAGAGACACCGTGAAAGCTTATAAATAGATAGCTCGCTTCATATACTTAAGTACTGATGAGGAGAAATTAGGCGATTATTGTTTCGAATGTGATCGTAGTTGTAATGCACATGAATTTATCACCCAAATTGCGGACTATTGTGGGGTTTCTTGCGGAAGTAGTTAGAATATATAGTGAACCAAAAGTCATCATGCGAAACCTTATGCGAATTCAATTAAAGGCTTACCATTCAGGAGAAATAAGGTCTATACTCGAAAAAAGAAACACTCGAAAGGTTATACCAAACAATTTCAACTAATCTAATTCAACATACAAACTAATCAAATTTAGTGTCGTTGGCTGTTGATTTGATATACACGCACTTTAGAGCAGCGGTTCTCAAACTTTTGTCGATTGCGACCCACTTTGGGAAATGACATAAGCCACCAATACAAATGTTGTGTGACCTATTTTAGTTATTTTTTATGGATTTTGCCGTTTTTCGACAGAAATCGCAAAATTAGCTTTTCTGGAGAAGTCGGATAAAATATCTGGAGAATGTTAAAATTAACTTCTGAAGGAAGCCAAAAAAAGTAGAAGGGTCTGTGCCTAGGGGCACGAACGGAGGCTTGACGTAGGACTTCTAGTGGACGGAACAAATATGTTGATCATTTAGTGCTTAACACTTTCCGTTTTTGAGCTGCTGGCCCTTTTCAGGGTGGGTGCGTCGTCTTAGTGATGTCACATATATACATTTATCTGTAATGATACAGATTTTTCTCAAAATTTCGATACAGATATTTGTATTTAAAGATTACAATTTTTTTTTAAATAGGGGAATTTACGTATTCTCGTCAATCTAAGCAGCGTCCGAACTTCTATTAGCGATTTCTCAGCGTCACACACATACATGACAGGTTTGTTTGTTGACATTTATCTGCTGCTTGCTGTTCTACCAATTCCAATCGACAGAATTGATCAAAACGGGTTGAACATGTTTTTACAACGCTTCAAACTTCTCAGGTGAGAGTGACTATTGTCGGCAGTCTCTTTTTCTTCGGCACCCTTTCCATTTGAACTGCGTGTTAACCAGCTGTTCTATTATCGGCAACTCGAAATCAGCCGTATATTGTAGTATGTATATTTCATTTAAAGAAAAATATGGTATAACAGGAATTCACAGTCGTAAAAATGTAATCAGATTTAAGCTGAAAAGGTAATTAATCGGCTTAATACATTCAGCGAAGAGTTTTGATGGGAAAATACAGTGAAATAAACGTTTCAATTTCGGTTGCCGAAAACAGTCAATGGGTGCCGAAGCCATAATTTACCCTATACAGATTCTTCAATTAAGTGGAAGATATGTTTAACCCTGGATTGAATTTATTAATATCCATGAATAATCCTTTATTTCTTTTGAGTAGGTACAAGCGCCTTACTAAATACTAATTTTTCATTTTTTTTTTTATTATCTTCGTTAATTTTGAACGGGTTTCTGATGCTCAAATGTTCTGATTTCTGACTGCTCTTTAGAAGGGATGTTCTATTTCTGACTGCTCGTTAGAAGGGATGTTAGTTTTTCATTCTTATTGTTTGATTAACCATATCACATGGTGACAGGTACTATGAGTATTTTTTTATTTTTTTGTCGCAACGGCAAACAAGCCGTTTTAACAAACCAACAAGTTGATTGATTACAGTTTGTGAGTCGAAGAGGCAACTGGATATTTTGGCAATTGACTACCCAAGCAACATTGCAAGTTTTATCGCGGTTTTATAGCATTCTACAAGTCTAAATCATGGTCTATAGAACCCTCATAAAACCTCAAGTGTTACTTGAGTAGCGTAATATCAAAAATAAAGAATATATTCTATGCAATTCTACTAACCATCCCATTTCCCAAAAATACTGAGTACACTTAGATATATAGGTTCAAGCAACAGCTAGCGAATTCAATATCCTTTTAATCTGCCAAATTATTAGATAAAGTTAAAATTTGTGTTGTTTAGAAGAATTTGAAACATCGAGCATTACATTTTACAACTAATACTTCATAAAATGTAACTGCTTATTTTTCATTTTATAAAATTGTTGAGTAAAAAAAAAAGATTTTCGTAATCTCGGATATACAAAGATCAAGTTTTACGAAAATGTAATTGTTCCTTCATTTTTTTCAGGTTTGTCTCTCATTATTGGGACTTGATGTTTTGTATATTTAGCCTTTTAAAAGAAATACAAATTGCTTAAAACAAATCAAGATTCAGGATTTCGAGGTCTCCTTAGATTATTTTTTTAGAAAGCAAACTTAAGTCATTCTTCAAGATTCTAAACTATAAAAAAAACTATTTTTGGACTTCAAATGAGCTCAAAGTATATCTACGACGATCCGCGATTCCTTTAAATTCCGTTATAATTGCTTATCTTTTGACAGATACGCGTATTTCGTCTACTACTTGCAGACTTCATCAGTGCCAAGTACTCAACACCACTTGGCACCAGGGCTTACTTCCACTCACTTGCTATAAAAAAATGTTTTTCGGAATTATTAAATCATGATATAGTATAATACTAATTAGTACTTTTAAGTTACAAGAGAAGGTCATGAAGTATTTGTTTGACACATAAAATCTGTCAAAATTGCTTTCAGTGCGTCACAATCAGCAATTTTACGACTCGTGAGCGCTCACTCTGAGTGAACGCTCACGAATCATAAGATCGCTAATTGTGACGCTCTCAAAGCGAAATTGACAGATATTATGAATCAAACACATACTTTACTACCTCTTCTTGTTACTCACAAGTACAACATAGCATTATTGCATGTAATGATTGCATAATTCCGAATTATATTTTTTTTATAGCAGGTGAGTGGAAGCAGCCCTGCTTGGCACTGATGAATTTTGCAAGTAGTAGACGAAATACGCGTATTTGTCAAAAGATAAGCAATTATAACGGAATTTAAAGGAAATAAACCAACCCACTCAAAGCTCTTCATAAAGGGATTCCGTTTAGAGATTCGACAAATTTTAAGGATAGATTTTTACGGTTAAAATACAGATTGATAATGGAAATAATGCGGCAACACTGCGTCGTCTTCGATGCGTGCTGTTCCACTCATACGTCGTCCGACGCTTATCCATCTATTGCTCGAAAGCAAATGACGAAGAAAACGATTTGGCAAGCGTTTTTATAATCGCTGCTTGTCTCCTCCCTTTCTTTCATTGGTAAAATGGTGAGCGATCAACCGGGCATTGAGCTCGCTCATGTTAGCATGCGCAATGTGTCGTTTGTTCAATTTGCGCTCTATCGTTGCGTCCGTGTTTGG